TAGGCCGACTGAGGCGCCGAGAACGCAGACCCCCAAATATTGGTGGTGACGAAATATCGTCCGTCATAGTTTAATTCAAGAGCTACTTTTAGAGCAATTACATATTTATCGAAGCAGGGAACATAAAAAGTATGCAGTAACTTAACCGTGATTCTAATTCTGGACCACTCGATTACTAGCCAGACATGCATCCAATTACTACTCGAATACACGCGCTAAGAAAAGAGAAAATACCCCATATTCATAATGATATATACTCTGCTATTCACCGAAATTAATTTGAATTTACTTACGTTCTTCAAACAGCTATTCATGTTCCTTCAGGTATTAATTTGTCATCTTTTATATGTTTCTCCATCATTGGCTAGCTTTCATTTTCATCTGTCATGCCCAGTCCAACTTAAACACAAAAAACGCTTATGTATACTGCTTTTCGACTTACTAGTTTATTTCAATAGTACAATTATGGTAAAGGCAAGAAAGTATTAAAATTCCTAACTAAAATAAATAGATATATTTAAAAATAACGAAGCATTGCAACTTTTCCATTTCCTAAAATGTTTACCTCAGAGAAAGGCTGTAGAAATTATAAAAGACTTAAAATAAATATTAGAAATCTCAAAGAAAACAGTCCATTCAAAAAAAGAACTCATGTTACGAAACTAACTCTGAAATAGATTGAACCATTCCCGAAAACAGCTTTCTAATCTATCTTAAGTACAGATTTATCTCTCAGTGTAACGCTCCAGGCGAAGTTTAACTGAATCCTCCAAGGTTTAATAGTTCCAATAACACCACATGGCTGCTGTTTCTGTTTAACTATTTCTCTGAGGAAAAATTCTGTTTGTTTCTGAAAGTAGCATATTTTTAAGTTACTTGGAGCTTGATCTCTTAACCATAATACTGATGAATGAGAAAATATTTTAGAGGAAAAAATGCAGTTAAATCATTTATAATCTTAAACTTTTACAATTAAATCACATTAATGTTACGATTAATTTATTAATTTAATTTTATAGCTCCTTAATTCAAATTTTTCGGATTGTCAAAATGGAGGGCGATTTAAACATGTTCTTATGGGAAATGATTTAGAACTTTAAAATTGGAAAAACATGTTCTTTGCATGTTGTCTTCAAAAGCAAAATCTACTTCATTATTTTTCCGAATATCAGGTTATGTTTGAAATGTGATATCTAATCTTAATTTTTGTTTGAAATGTGATATCTAATCTTAGTTTATGTAACCATTTATGATAACTGTGTTAAGTTTTTCTACGATAGCTATGATGGTCGTTATTACACATGCAATGACATGCTAAATAATTCAGAATCTTAATATTTGCTTTTTCCTTTTTACATATCATAAAAGTCTTTCCACTATGGTTTCCTGTAGACGCATAAAACTTTCCTAAAAATAGATGATATCTGTAGTTGTATACGATATATATTAAATCATTTCTACCAGAGTGATATTCCTAACCGAGTTGTGGAATTTCACATTTCCCTTTTCTCTCTTACTAGCTCTTCGGTGGGTAAGCAAATTAGTAGACCTCAACTTGTCGCTTCGTCATTGTGTATTTGCCGCAAAATGAATGTACCTAAACACTGGTTGCTGCAGACATTACAAATGGTATCGAATTATATTAATCGAGAAAAACATAAGATAAAATATACTTCAGCCGTGATTATAAAAGCTAAGTTCGATTTCATAAAATTAATTGCAGTTAATGTAATGTTAACAGCAATTCTCTCTAGGTAAACCTACACCAGTAATGGCGAGACTATGAGACCACTGCTAACAATAATATGGCACCATGTGCAGGATGGCACGAACCCGCTGATAAATATTCGACACAAAATCTTTTAGCATCCTTAAAAATCTATCAGTGATTTTACTCACAACATTATTCTTTAATTCTCTTTGCGAAACCTTATTTTCAACATTAAGCAACTTTAAAACTGAAAATAAAACGAATGGCAAATGAAGTTCGAGTTATTTACCTGGATTTGGAAATGCATAAAATACTTAATTTTTGTTTCAGACTTATCTATCAAACTCAATTGTCTTTAATTACCAACCATTTAAATTTAAAGTTGATCTTAAAAATAGGATGCTTTTTATATGATTTGTAAGTCCAATTATCAGTATACACAGTGACTTCCATTAGAAACCATTAGCTTTTTTAAAACGGTTCCACATGCCTGCGGTTTCCTTCCGTTAAACCTGCGTGCTTTAGAATGCTGCTTTTAATAATTTCTCTAGTTTATAAAGAACTTCTATTTACTTATTGTTATTTCCCATGTATCAGATCTTGTTGCAGTTATTTGACACTAACGTTTATGTTAGAAAACTGCTTGTAAGTCTATAGCTTTTAGTTGTACGGGATTCATTACTGGATTATGCCTTTTTTTTATGGAAAACTATGTGTCTTTTTTTTCAAAGTAATACGCAAACATATTAAACATTTTTCTGATTTTTGACACCTTGCACTTGAACGCGATGACATCATTGGTCTACACTAATCAGCAAATTCATTTGACAATGAAAAGCTTTCACATAGTATGGTAAACCCACTAAGAACTCATAACTACTACCTTAAACTTAATGGAGCTGTTATTTGTTTTTCATTTTAATTTCTAACTTTTCGAGAACGAGTTACGTGAATTCGAATAAAATTAAAAGGGACGGGATTCATCAGTTTAAAAAGGGAGCTAGTAAAACTTAAAATGAACCTTAAATGGCTAGCCCTAAAATCACATCGATTTATGAAACCAAGGAACTTTTTTGTATTTAATTATTTTAATATATTTTAATAAGTAACTACAAAAAATTTGGAATTTTTTGTAGTTTTATTATGAGCTGCCACTTCGGCTTTGGAGTAGGGAACCGGCTGTTATACCCTTGGACCCGGATTCGAATCTCGGAGAAAGTATAGACATTTGGAAATGTATAGTGTCTTCACTGCATGGGTGCTTAAAATACTGTCGAATTGAAAGCTCTCTCGAAAGGCTGCTGATAAATTAAGACGGTTAAGAGTCCCTCAGGTCCGTCCTCTAGAGGCACTTCATCAAGACGGGGACAGAGCTAACAAACGACAAGACTTAACAGCCGTTGTCCCCGTTCTGCGTCACCTGTCACCTCTTAGTGCAAAGACCAATTGTTAAAAATAATATGACAGAAAATTATATCCATTTTCCACCTCGCAGTTACTCGCCTAATGAGAATCTGCGTCTCGGATACCATGCAACCTTCTGTTCAAAAATTTTATTATGACCAGAAAGCGTTATTTATCAGAGGAAAGATATACTCGCATAGTAAGTGAGCCAATTAATGACATGGATGACAGTGATGATTCATTTTCTAAAGTAATAATTCTAGTGATTCTGAGTTTCTGCATTCATATTCCCGTAAAAACGTTTTTACTTCTTGTAAATATTCTTTCTTAAGCATTTTAGAATTAATTTTGAAGTTTATTAATGTGTTTTGTCAATTAAAGCTTCGGAATACTTTGAACAGCTCGTTCGAAAATTATTTTAAAAATAAGCAGTTTTTTAACATATTTTCATGTAAAGTAAGGAAAAAACATCATTAAATGCTAGTTTTAACGAATATGATAACTTCAGCAATAATTTAAAATGGTACCAGACATTGCGATTTAACCTTACGATTTAAACTTTTTTTTTTTTTTTTTTTTTTTTTTTTACGTTTGTTCTTCAAAAGTAAGTCTTAGCAACGCAAAATCCCCCGTCCTGTGGGAGCATTCCTTTCCACTCTTCTCCGTCCCGAGGGAACGTCTTAAACAAAGGCGTTCCCTCGGGACGCCTTTGTTTAAGACGTCCCGAGGAATGTTTCGAAAGGGTTAAGAGAGGATTTTTCTCAAAATTATAATTTTTCTGCTTGTACGCATGATTTTTCTAAAACCATTGATCTGAAGTTCATGAACGTTTCCTTCATATAGCGGTTTTACAATTGTATAACAGTCGTATGAGTAATACGTAAAATTATGATATATAATTTAATATATCACTGCAATTATATGCCAACTATTTAAACAAAAAAGTAATATTTAAGATAACCAATTTATGCATCTTGCCTAAAAATCCTTAGAAATTTTACATTCAAAAGTAGTTGATTTTGGCGTTTCACAAATAAAAAACAATTTTCCCTAAGAAAACTTGTTCTATTATTCTTAAATTATGTACTTGTAATTATAGATTATCTTTCTAATATGAAAACAAATTAGCTTAATGGTGACTTTTTATTTATGCAGTTAAGTATAAGTTATAAGGTATTTCTCCCGCCTTCTGGGCATGCCTTCGTGGTGTGGTGGTTTGCACGCTGGGGGCGTAATCCAGAGGTCCGCGGTTCGATTTCCGGCAACGGCTTAGCTAATTTTTCATTTCTTTTGCTTCAAAAATACCTAATGTCCCTACAGTGGCACCCGAACTAAAAAAAAGGGTGCTGGATGATGATTCTTCTCACCCAGAATTTGTCGACTAGATCCCCTAAAAAAACCCAGTGGGCCTTTAAAAGGGGGAGTAAATAAGGTATTTCTCCAACCTTCTTGGCATGCCTTCGTGGTGTAGTGGTCTGCACTCTGGGCGCGTATTCCAGAGGTCCGCGGTTCGATTCCCGGCAAAGGCGTTGTTAATTTTTCAATCTCTCTTGCTTCCACAAAATAACTAATGTCTCTACAAAGTAAATAATTCAGTTTTATCTCTCTGACGCAGGTATTTTATACTTATTTTTAAAAAAATACTTTAATACATTAAACGTAAAGTAAAAATAGTAAGTACAGAATCAATCATAATGAAATGAATTTGTAAAATTTGAGGATCATAATTACACACACGAGGTATTGAGCTTTAAAATGTGTTTCATGTTTAGCATATTTTGATATTTTAATGATTATCTGGTCCTTTAATCATCCGAATCGTTATGTTGAGGTAAACCACACAAGAAAACAAATTTTTATGGCCTTTTTTCTTCTTTTTTTTCAGATTCGAGCAGTAGAGAAAAGCGCTACTACAGGGACCACTAGTGAATTGGTAATACGGGCGGAGGCTAGTGACAACGGAGCAAAATATCGCTGCGAAGCTATCAACAGTGCTCTCAAGAAGCCCCTTGTAGCCACAATCACTCCTTCCGTTCTTTGTGAGTGTCCCATCTACTTTTCTGAATTTCAGTATAATGTAGAAAACTATAATGAATAAGATCATCGGAAGATTGTGATGTAAAATACACACTTTAGGGTGTATTTATGAGTGAATTATCGATTAGTGTATAATGTGTAAAGAATTAACTGGCACGGTCTATCAATATGCTAGGTCAGTGATGGTGTATCTTATAAGCTCGGAGTGTCAAAATTTGGAAAACTCTAGCCTAACGCTGGTGCCATGTAACATATAGAGCTATTCATAACATTTATATATTTGCAGCCAGAGTTAAAAAAAGTTACTTTTCTGATATATGACGGCTCTGGAAATTCGTGATACTCGTCACCCAAAATGGAGTTGTGTGTCTCTTATGACACATGTGTCATATGTTCGTCATCAATCAGAATAAAATTTCTGTTCTACGGCGTACATTCTTCTTTCCTACAGCATCTCGAATATCATAACTTCATCTTCTAATCTCAGAATTCTTTTAATTAGCGAAAAAGTGATGCAATATTAAGTTAGTTTTAACCTCTATTTTCACTTTAAAGTTTTCTTCTTTGTAATATAAATGTGTCGGTCTTTGTTTGTGTACTCTGTTTGTTATAATTAAAAAGAAAAGCAGACTAGTTATTTACACAGGGGTTTCTTACTATCCGGTTTACTTTTCTTGAATTCTTTCCCATTATACAATCACCGTATATGGAATTATTATTTTTGTTATTATATCCGCTATGGCAATATGTTCTATTTTGTTACTATATCTTGAGGTATTATATAATTTTAACGGTAAAATTTTAGTCTTTGTATCTTTGTTCATTGTTCATCAAGGATCTGAATCACGAACAAATACTTCTTACGAACTATCTCAAGAAAGTACCTCTTTTGTAAATATGGAACTTTTGTTTTATTTTATGTAAGTAACAACTATACATTGTTTATGCAACCTAAAAAGTGTTTTGATTAAATTTTATGAATACAGTCTGATTATAGTAATAAGTTTGTTGATATAAACATTTTAGTAACATAAATGTCTGTATCAAAACATTTGTTATCAATTTTCTTAAAATTGGTAACAAATGTATTGAAAAATTATCAATTTTCTTAAAATTGGTATGTTTCTGATCGACCCTCATTGGTAAAGAAATTTTTCGTTCCTGCAGTAAGATTGTTCCGTCAGCAAACTATAAAAATGATAATAATATGGGACAACTGTTTCGCGCCGAAACTTTTCACAGCATTGTAATCTTTCAGGAATATTTTCCTAGCCATATAAGATTATAGATACTGTAGTGAATATTTTTGCTTTGTCGCAAATATTTCGCTTAGAATCACTCACGATCTGATTTACATGCTTTTCGCCAATGAACATTCTTAAATTCAATTACCTAAGGCTCTCAAACTGTCAACTTTCGTCTATATCTCAAATAAATTAAAGTGACTGTTTTGGTTTATATGGCTTGTTTGAATTACATCTTTCTCATCGTCTGTGAATCAAATTTAATAGTTTTTGCTAAAATATAAAATAAGGTACGAGAATTCTGAATATTGCTTTTGTTTTTATGCCCAATTGTATTGTGCATTTTCTTTTATCTTAAGATGACAGGTCAAAAACATTTTATTTCTTTACAGTCACGTTCAATTTGAAACTTTTATCTAATTTAATTAAAATATAGTTAATAGGCAGACCACAGGATTCTGGCGGGTTTTAGATTAAACTCATCATCGTGGAATGTATCCTCAATTGTTATATATACTGTACTATGTGATGACATGTATAACAATAGCTGTCAGTCTTCTCTTACTTTTTGAACAACAAATTTTTCAAATGGTCTTGATGAAAATCTAACATTTTTTTTTTTTTTTTTTGCATAGTTTATGATAGTAATATCATCGTTTATATACAGGCGGGAAGCAGGCTGTTTTCGAATTTGATTTGAAATAGAGAATGGATTATGTGTTTACAGAGGAAACTTTTCTACAGAATGGTGAATGGATTGTGATTTTGAAACGATTAATCTGCAGTCATCTTCACATTCTCATCTTGGCGCTGTCCAGTGCCACTACATACTAAGACGGTTAAATTATAATTAAGACGGTTAAGAGTCCCTACATAATAACATTATGTAGTTAAGAGTATGTTAAGAGTCTCAACATAATAAAGTTGTTGGTACAAATTTTTTATATCATTTGGTTCTGCTTGAAAAGGAACGACTATGTCACTTGCTTAGTTGGAGAACCTTACCAAACAAATACGTATAATAGACTCAGAAATACTCTACAAATTTCGAAGAACGTTCGGAAAATGTGTTTTCCAAACAATACCAGTCTGAAAACAATAACACTGTTACAATAAATGTCATTCAATTCCCAACTGTTTTGTAATATAAATAAATATTTGAACTGTATCCTATGGTATTGGTTTCAGTCTCAGAATTGTCAGATTTGCTTGATGAAACCTTAGAAGTAAACTGATTGGTTTCTATTTTCATAATGGTGAAGCACTTCTAAATTGTCAGATTGCATGCAAACTTTGAACTCTTTGCATCAGAAAAAGCAGTTAAGTAGGTGCAAATATTAAACACCACATACAGCAACATGTGCCACATATACCACGTATAGCAAATGTTATATACTGGCTTCGTTACAGAGAAATGTAAAGCTATCTTATCCTGTTATTGACACCGAAACCAGAAACAAATTATCATTATTCCACAGTTTTAACCTGTTGCGTTCACTCAACCCAATGATGACCGTGAATACTAAATTTTCTATCAATGAGAAAAAAATATTTATAGAATGCTCGTAGAAGTTGATAAAATACTTTATTTTCTTTAATCAACATGTTCTTCTAATTATAAATTTTCTTAAAATAATGAAAATCGTCTAAACCTTACAGGTATGGAGCTCTCTATATAAGCAGAATATAAATTTTAAGCGATTTCCGAATAAAGCAAATTTTAATTCTTAAAAGACTATACTCTATTTAGTTAAAAATAAAGTGTTTTATCCCTTGGCATACAAATTTTACTTAGAAAACTTAAGGGGACTCATACACCTTAAACCCCTTCATGATCTTCGAATATGTGACTGTTGCAGGAATTGAGATATTTTTTTATTTTAAAGCAATTACTTTCAACGTTTACAGATGCTACATAAATAGCTGCTTTGGAACTAGTAACCAGAAAGTTGTTTCCACAAAATTTTTGTAATTTAATCCTCTTTGGACAATATTTCGCCCGTTTCCATCTTGCGCGCATATATTTTAAAATGCTAATAGTTTTCTTGAAATTGGATGGCATTTTTATATGGAACTATTTTCTAACTGAACCAACAATCTGATGAATATTTCAGATGAACTTTTAATGGACGGAAACATACACTTTTTTTAATAAAATACATTTTAAACTCAACTCTCCAAATAAAATAAAAATTTAACATGAATTTTTAGAATTTATGTTCACAAGTTTCCAATTTATAAAAGGTATATATTAAAATAGGAATTAAATTATGAAACAGTTTTTAATGTGCGCGCAAGTTGGAAACTGACGAAAAATGTTGTACAAGCGGCTTAAATTATAAAATATTGTGGCAACACAACTTCTGATTACTATGTCAGAAAGCAGCTATATTATGTAGTCAGCTTTAAAAAGTTGGTAGTAATTGCTTTTAAAATAAATAAGTTATCCCAATTCTTGTGACAGTCACCTATTCGAACATTTTATGGGTTTTAAGGTGTATGAGTCCACTTAAGACTTCGACAATATTTAAGCACGAATGCTTTTTACCCAACATTAATTTTTTCTAATACCTAGAAAAAATATTATTGTTTTCATGTGACGTTCTTTTATCGCAAATGAACAATAGCAGTGGATCAGAATAAAAAAAGTAAATTTTCTAAAAATAATTTTACAGTGTTTCGTAATCATATTTTATTGTAATAAATCAAATATACTTTTAGCATCATGTAATGTCAAGATTACAGTATATCTAATTCAACTTTCTGCTTACATTATCGTTTGCATCAAAACTGCACCAACATTATAGATTGCAATCTTCTCCCTTTATATGCATATTTCTTTTAATTTTGTGCAAACGGTAATGTAGGGGGTTTGTTTTGTATTTTGATTTTCCCCGATTGAAATCATTTTAGTTCCAAGAAGGAAATTCACGTAGCAGCATCGGATTTTTCAAACCTGAATCCTGTTAGACTGAGTTCAATCTGAAGTTTCCATGTCGTAAAATAATTTCTTTAATGATGCTAATAGTTTTCAAAAAAGTTATTACCAGAAACTTCTCATTGTACGTTGATTATTTTTTCTGAATGTGATAGAGCCAAGGAATATTCTTCTCATGGAATATTTTCGTTAATTGCATGTAGCTGACAATGACTGAATCTGGTTGCTGGAAGACTTAAGCATATCCTCTGCAGTAGAAATATAGGAAATGTTATCATGCGGGAAAGTGTAGATTTTAGTTCCAACTTACTTTTTTGTCATTTGACACGATGTCATATTCTGAGTACAAGATACTTAAACATAAAAGATCAGGATTCTTTGTTCAGGAACAGTTTTCTCTCATGGCACAACTATTTTATTTGTTCAAGCTGTTTTCTCTTATGGTACTACGAAAATCAGTGTTTTCAGACATACCTGAATTGATATAATGATAACGTCCAAAAATATCAGGAGAACGAGAACAATATTGTGTGTGCAGTCCAATGAATGACTGAATAATATTTTTTTCATTTCAAATACAATTGGCTTTAAAGCATTTTTCATAAACTTTTGAATGCTAGAGTTAACGCGTGTAACTTTTACTAAATAGCAGTGAATATATACTTTTAAGGAATTTAAATGAACAAAATGGAAATTTTTAATACCGTTTTTATTTTCTCTAATTATTAACTCATTATTGCTAATAATGATACAGTTTTCTGATTACTTATTTTTACTAGGTAAAAAACTTCTCAAAGGTTAAATTTTCAATTCTGCCACA